TTTATTCTGTTTAGATCCTACGTCTGGTCCATTTTGTAAACTCAGCAAAGAGATTCAAAACACCACAGCTGAGCTTCTCTTCACCCTCCCTGTTATCGACAACTGTCTTCTACAGACACTATCACTGTGTTGTCACCAGCATGATGTTCCTGTAGATGTCATAAAATACTTGATCCAAGTCCTGCACTACAAGTAGGCATTTTGTTGGCCAGAACAGATTTTATGCATGGATATGAAAATACAGCCATTTTCTCCATGGTCACAAACATATGTCATAACTGTATCGTAATCAGTCACCTTACGTACACTGTATGATTGGCTCAGCAAATTTGCAGATCTTGTGAATGTGATTTTCTAAACGTTTCCTTTTATCACATCTTGATACTACTACTACCAGAATCCTTTGCATGGCTCTTTTTGTTGGCCCCTAGTAACTAGTAACCCCATYATCTTGCTACTCTAAAATGGGTTACATTTGAATAAGAAAAAGAAAATTTAAAGAGGAATGGATTTATATTAAAATTTGAGAAAAAACACTTCMTTTTTTCATAATCTTATACTTTTCTACTTTTTTAATCAATTCATTTAGTATATATACGTTCAATGGTTATATATTACGCAAATCCAGGTAACTAGGCTATTGTCATTGTGGCARTATAARTATGACCAATCTGACTTTATTCTTCACTTGACTCTGAAGATGACTTCCGCTAAGGTTGTCCAAATGTCAGTCACATCAAACAGTCCTTCTCAGGACTACATCCACCCGGATGATCATAATACTTCAATTAACATGGTTATATATGTCAGGCGACTTGACTCTGGGCTACTTAACCAGATTCCATATATGCATATAACCATTGAACATCACTCCAAACATTGTACCCTGATGATGAGAACTAAGCCCAAAAGCTTGGTTATTATATTTATGATTTCAAGGTTGTTGAAGCAGTTCATCTATRATAATGATACCAACCTACAAAAAATCACTTGATTCATTTAGTGTTTACTTTTCTTTAAGATCTCCTGCAAGCTGTGGATTTCTTGGCTTGACATCAGCATTTACTTTGTCTTCCTATCTCAGTTTTCTCTTCAGTGTTGCAATAGGTAAAATATATATGTCAGATATTCTTTTTTCCAAAGAAACTCTTCATTAGTATTCTTGTGTGAAACACAATACAACTATTGATTGTCACATGTGACAAGATTTTTAATTTGCCAATGTATTTCCAGGCTATACCAAGGAACATCTTCACAACTTCAATGATGAAGAGACAGCTTTGTATGTTTGCAAAATTTCGTTTATATAACCTACCTTGAGATCTTTGAAMGATTCTATGGACACAATGTCCTTAAAACCAATTTACGAGCAGACTGACTGTCAAGTTTCTAAAAATGTTATCCATAGGTTGTCATACAACATAGTTGAAGATACGGACATAATAAAGCATTGGACCAGACATCAAGATATCTTACAGGTAAAAATATACAAATGAATATTGTAGACTGAAAACGTTTCATCTGGGCCACATTTTAAAATCATGATAATGGTACGAAATCACAATATTGAACCATTGAATTTGGCTTGAACAAATGGGTACTTTGTAATTTCTTGCTGGGTAACCTTTGGGTTACAGACTTTGGCTGTGACGTGCAGAGCAGTGACCTTAACACTAAAGGGAAGGGCTTTGAACAAATGACACTGAGTAACTGCTAACCATGCATTTGATCATGTATGTTGTAGGCTGTTTGTAGCACATATACTCAACTGCAGAACGCTGATCATCTTCTACATCTCATGGAACCTGTCTTGAAGATGACGCTGGTATGACATCACATAATGACTTCTTTACAGTGCTGTGTGCAGACTTTGATCCTTTTTTCTACTTTCAGGATGAAACAAGAATTCTGCCTTTGACAGTGGCGGATAGTTTGTTGCAGCTATGTTCATGGTATTTGTCWAACACTCATTCAAAGTATTTTAGATGACAGAGATTTTTCATGACCACATGACAGCAGCCATGTTGGATGGCAGGAACAATGCAATCTCGAGAAACAATTTCATTCCCCAAAGTAAAAGGATTCCATTGTTCCACCATCCAACATGACCTCAGCATGTGATCATACAAAACCTCTCTTGAGCATGAGCAGAAATTTCATTCTATTTATTATGATTTCTTTTTCTTTTTTCCAGCTACACTCTGTTATCCCTTAAGCCCAACATTTTGGCAAATGATTATCAACATCCAAGCATATCATCTTGTTTAATATCAAGTCTGGCAAGACTTTCCATTACATGTATGCTTTACACCACAAAGACTGATGATACAATGGAATCCAACCTGGTTGTAAAGAATTGTTTATTCAGTAATGTTATGCAGCTGTTGGTGGCACAGCCTTCTATTCTAGAGAAGATACTTGATGATTTACTATCTAAAACACCAGGTAGGGCTTGA